TGCACTAAACCAGGACTAGACCAAAACTAAACCATAACTAAACGTGGACTAAACCAGGACTAAAGCAAGAATAAACTAAAGATCAACCAGGACTAGACCAAGACTAGATTAGACCTACATTAGACAAAGACCTGGCCTAGATCCATAAACGTAAGACTAGGCAAGATTCTTAGTAACATCTTAAATAATAATGTTGTTTTCCATGTTTTGGCGAAGTAAGTATTGTAACCTGTCCTACGCACTTTAAAGTCTTTAGTCACCGATAAAAATCTGGTGATAAATAAATTCAATAAATACACTTTATTACACATTTTGTATAATTTTATAATTAATTATTATTTTGGTCTGAAAAAATGAACGCACTACACTTCAGCGAGACACGAGTTCAACTCAAAAAAGCAGAAAATGACCATTAAAAAGCTGCTAAAATTGTTTCTCTGCTAAAATCCGGCGCTTTTGAACTGGCTTGTATGAAACTGTTATTCTGACGCATCTGTCCTGTTCTTTTTAACTGTAGAAAAGTCGAAAAATGAAACGAAAAAGTCACTGCAGAACATTTCAAAAATAAAAGCACACATTAAAAACACTACACAGTCTACTCAGGTGATCAAGTCCAGATATACGGGAGAATACTGTAGCTTATATTCATGTTATATTTATAGACCAGAAGTCGCATTCAGAAAACCCATTTTTTCTTATTTTGTAGTTGCTTTTTCAAAATACGAATAGTTAAATGCGGTGACGTTGTTATAAAGAGAGAGCACAGCACATAGTCACAGCTAGTCAGAGGTGAGTAGTACTTTTACTTGAGCAACATTTTAAAGAAACTGTACTCTAGCAGTATACTTTTACTCCTACTTGAAGTAAGAGTCCGTCAAATGCTTTTCTCTGTGGAGATGTTTTTGCATCATCTGGAATGTTTCGCAGTAGTGGATTAAACCTTTCTATTATCACTGAAATCAAACCAGACCAAGTTACAGGTCAGATCTGTGGAGAGGTGACCCTACCCACAGTCAGAATGCTTGTTTTTCTAGGTATTTTTGAGCTATAAAACCACCTGTAATTGAATAAATGTAGCGTAGAACTGTTTAATGTCATACTGTGGAACATTCCAGACAAAGCAATAACATCTCCATAGAAACAAGCACAGGACAAACCCCCAGCCAAAAAGTTACACAGTGCACTGTACAACTTTTCTGGTGGAAGGTCGGCTACCTGCTTGTCTCCATGGAGATGTTATTGTTTTGTCTGGAATGTTCCACAGTATGACATTAAACATTTCCATCTAGCATTCATCCATTACAGGTGTTTCTACTGCAAAAAAATACAATAATTCCTTTTGTGAACAGAGACGATTCTCCACAGATCTGATTTGTAATGTAGCGTAGCTCTGTGACCCGCTTGTGTCCGTCATGATCGATAGGTTTAATCTATACTGTGGAACATTCTAGACAAAGCAATAACATTTCCATGGAGACAAGCAGATGCCACACTCTCCATTAGAAATTTTACACAGTCCACCTTTAAGTAGTAGTTTTCCCAGATACTTTTTACTCTTCTTGGATCACTACTGTATATTTCCACTTGACTATTATTTTGATGTAACGTTACTCTTACTTTAGTACAATTTTTAGCTACTCTACCCACCTCTGCTGCTTTTTGTGAACGAAATTCTAAAATCTTCAAATGAACGTTCAAAATTTCACATTCTGTTTCAGATGATATGGTTTGTGCAATGAGAAAAGCTGGTGGCGTTTGATTTCCACACGGGGCGGAGCTGGGCGGGTGGAGTCACAGTTTGAGCTTTGATGTGTATTTATATTTATATATATCTATGTTACAAAGCGTTAAAGTTGAAATATTTACGAACGTCCAGGAGAGAAGGAGGAGTGACGACTTTCGGCAAAACCTGAAAAGACTGGAGTTTATTTTCTAACATGCACCAGGACAATAGAAGCACCCGTCCGAACGTAATCTCTTTTATAATGTTTTAATATGAACAACATTCCCTGTGGGTGTGAAGCTAACTAATGCACTGCTCTGTCTGAGGCTCGTCTCTCTTAAATGACAATATAGCCAAAATCTAAAAACTTTTCTATCTGTGTTTGCTTTATTATTCATTTGTGTGCCTTGTGTCGTCATAGTAACTGCTGAAGGTACACGTAGACCACCCCCAAGTATCAGTATTTTTACAATAATTTTCATATACTATTGTGTTTTTCTGTATGGCTGAGGCTGGCATCTCTACATCATGCCCACAGAGTACAGTTGACAATGATTCGCAGCTAAAACTTGCACAGAAATGTTCATTAATGCGCACTCTAATTCAATATAATGTAAATAAAGTCATATGATATCTTGCAATATTTTTGTATTTGTAAGGTGCATTGAGTTACCGTGTGTATGAAAAGCACGATATTAATACAAATTTATAACATTAATACATGAATTTTACTACACTTTCCACACAAATGAAGCACTCAAATTCAACTAGTGAAACATAAAAATAAAACAAATTATTCATTATTATCTGGGTGTGTGCATTGCTTTAAAATACATCTGATTAAATGTATTTTGGGTGCTTTTTTATATTATCATATATAATATAGTTTAGACAAATATGATTATATAAGTGCAGATAGCATGCTACAGTAGGTAAATATAAACAGTTGGCATGCTAGTTGTTTTCAGTTTTGACTAAAGTCGCCACCTCGTAGACGCAGTGTTATAAGGTCTGGACACAAACAGTCGTGATGAGATCTTAAAGAACACATACGGTACATTCTTGTGGTTTAACTCTTTTAAACATGATTTTGGGATAATTTGGGATAATTATTTCACATTTTTTAACTTAAAATAATGTCATCTTATGGAAAATATGTTTATAAACTTCACAGCTTTCCAATGAGCTCCCCCTGCTGTCAGCAACTGGAATTAACATACAGAAAGTAAACAGATGATGCCCTTAACCCCGGTGAGTGCTATGCTTTGCCTCTTCCTGCACCTATTATTATTATTTTTTTTTTTTTATTTGGTGTGATTTTTATTGTTGTATGTTATATAAGAGCAAACTACAATACAATAAAATAAATTAATAAGTAAACAATAAAAAAATAGAGGCATGTGTTTGCTGTGAAAAAAATTTGACTGTGGAATGAGTCCAATGATGGTTTATGGACTTAAAAACTGCACTGGAGAAGTCTAGAGTTTTATCTATGACGCAACTAAACAGGCAAAATGCAAACAGAGCATTTTTGAGGCTCTGAGAAGACGAGTTTGGATTAATGAATAAATTAAACAAGCATGAATGAAACAAAATACAACTCCAGGTATGTTTTTGACGAGGGGACGGCGTTATAACAAGGCTAAAAGCTAAGAAAAGAAAAGTCCATTTTGCATCATATGTGTTCTTTAAGGTATTTTGAATTACATAAGCATATTTTAGAATAATAGTTTGAATATTTCATAAACATATTTTCCTCATAACACATCATCTGCCTCTGCTCCTGGACTCATCAGCTAATTTCTCCCTGATTCTGACTGAGACTGACTTAACACAGCCTTCTCATTTGGCAGAAGAGTAAAGTTAAAGCTGCACAATGTAACTTTTTGTTTAGGGGTTCGTCACCTGCTTCTTTCCATGGATATGTCATTGCTCTGCCTGAAATGTTCCACAGTATGACATTGAACAGCTCTACCTTACATTTATTCAATTACAGGTGGTTTTATAGCTCAAAAATACTTATAAAAACAGACGTTCTGACTGTGGGTGAGGTCGCCTCTCCACAGATCTGACCTGTAACTTGGTCTGGTTTGGTCTCCATGAAGATAGAAATGTTTAATACTATACTGTGAAGCATTCCAGACAAAGCAATAACATCCCCAGAGAAAAGAATTAGACGGACCCCCACCAGAAAAGTTCCACAATGCAGCTTTAAGATTGCACTAAGTTTTTTAGAATTGTGCTCTACCATGTGTCTTGTAAACACCAAATATTGCTAATTGTCGTTGGCGTTTCCAGTTAGCTTGGTTTTATTTATACAAAGTGTGGGCTTGGTTAGAAATAGGCGTCGTCATAGGCAACAAGAGCTTCTGTAGTCTGTGTAAGAGTCGCAAGCGGCAATCGTGGGTCTCAAGCGTGTGAATGGCACTATGCACAGATGAGTGGTTCCACTTTACTCTTAAGAATAATTATTATAAAAATGATGAGAAATAACCAAACCCTACTTTTATTTATTTTTTATGCTAGAGTCACATTAGCTCGTTTTACACAGATCGCTCATTCTGATTTTGAAGATGCGTCCTATTTGGTTTAAGATATTTAATTTAAAGTATAGTGCATTGTTCTAGTGGTATCGTTACGTTCTCTGCGTAAAAGGGGCTGATGTGTCCCTTCCTCTCTCTCACTCCCTCTTTCTCCCATAGACTGTATATATAAATGGACGTAGCTAACCCGCAAGCCGCCGCGTTCCAAACAGGAAGTGAGCATGGGCGCGCTTCTGGCTCCATCGCCTCCGATTCACTTTGCATTGTGAAAACATTGCCTCTCTGTTACTGCTACTGTCAGACTCTTCATTTTGGTCCTAAAATGTTCGTATTAACCCGCTCTACATGATCCTGGTGTTTTTATTTTGCTATTTTGTAAGTCATTTCCTATTCCCGATATGGAGTTGGCTCCAAATTAGCTGCTATAACTGCTAGTCTCATTTGACTGGAGCTGAACGCTGTGGGTGACGTCACACTTAGTCCACTCCTTTATACAGTCTATGCTCCCTCCTCTCTCTCTCCCTCCCAGTCTCTTTTTCTCTCAGTCTCTTTACACCTCCCTCTCTCCCCCCTTTTTCTGTCCCTCTCTTCCGTTGGACCACTCACTGTCGTCCATTTCCGAGTCCTTGTCTGATTTCACTGAACTCTCTCGGTTGAGCTAGTATAAGCACACCCCTACCCCCTTTCCCCTGTTCTCTCTCTTTCCCCTTTTCTCTCCCTCTCCCTTCCCCTCTTCAGTCGGACCACTCGTTGTCGTCCATTTCAGAGTCCTCGTCCGATTCGCTGTACTCGACGGCGATGCGGCGAGACAAAATGGTGGCTACGTCGTTTCCCACGGGCTCGCGTTTGGCCTCCTGCTCCCGCTGCTCCTGCACCTTCCTCAGCTGGATCCCTGCACCCGGAAGCAACATGGAAAACTCAGTGGGAGAGGAGACATCGGAATATTCTAACCTGACCATGGTTTAAAGTTCACATGGATTACACCACGGTCAGTAAGAATTCTAATGCAAACTGCCGAGCATTATTTTTGTAAAACTGCACAAGTAGTTCTGGCAATAATTAATCACTGTTCTGTATCAATGGGCAAACAAATGACCAAATGAGAGACAGAGAAAGAAAGAAAGAATGGGATAAAACAGTGAGAGATGTAAAGAGAGAGGGAGAAGAGAGACAGATGGAGAGAAAAAAAGGATAGAGAGAGAGAATGGGGGAAGATAGTCCACACGTTTACATGAGAGCTTTAATTCCGAATAAAAATAATTGAATTCTGAATAAAAATGAAATTCTGCTTTAAAAAGATCATGTAAACACTTAATTCCTAATGACAATGATTATTAAATTAAACTTAATTCTGAAGTAAGTGGGTGGTTTATTCCTATTTTAAAGACGAACTAATTTATTCCTTGATCATGTAAACATTTATTCTTCTTAAAAATAATTCCGGTAGCTCAGCGCATGCTCATTTTTGTCGCCCTTCTGACGCGATCCGGATGATCCGGCTCCACCAGTTCTCTCTTGGGACTTTCATCCACTGCTCTTTGGATTTGCGAGCGGGAATGGGCTGAGGTAGAGCAGCCATTTGTCTTCTTCTTCCCTTGTCCGACAATCTTCCCTTCTCCTCCTCAGCTGACAGATGTAAAGCCTGATTCATCAGCTGGTTTCACTTTGTAAAAACTGTCTGACCTTGCAGCATTAGGATTATTCGTTCCCTCGACGGAAGGCGGGTACTTTTTTCATTTAACCAAATTGCTGCTATTTGGTCGTGACGTATGTAATGCGCCGATAACGGGGCTAACTGGTATATTAAGCTTTTCCCAAATCCCAAATCAAGGACAATAACGTCTTTCCCCTTGATAAAATTCACCAAACATTCTCTTTGTTCCGGCTTTAAATCCTTGATCTCAGGAATCTTTCCAACACAGAATGTATGGCTCTTTGCTGATTGGCTGGTGCCAGAACACTTCCGGGTTTTGCAAACCGTCTAGTGTATTCTGATTCCTGACCTAGTTGCTGGAGAGAAATTAAATTGAGTGGAGGCACTAGGTGGCGCCAGCCCAGCTAGACAGACATAAAGCAAGATGATAGAATTCTGAAACTGCTGCGTAATTATCATCGGAACGACTGCGAAAAAGTTTGGATCATGTTTGTGTCCATGGTGTAACAACAAACCAAGATGACACAAAACCTGGTAGCAGCTGAAGTGTGTGTTTTCTTCCGGTCGACGTAAATGCATTCGTGTCCGTGTCCAATCAGAACCCTTCCTGACCCCCAGACGTTGAGCGGAATTAAATAAAGGTGATTTAATGTGTTTCCCATGTAAACCTTAATTTGGAATTATTATTTCCATGTAAACTCGACGGAGAATATTTTAATTCAGAACCATTTAATTAAGAACAATTAATTTGGAATTAAAAATCCTCATGTAAACATGGCCAGTGAGAGATGTACAGAGAGAGAGGGAATAATAGAAGAAGATAAAAAAGGAGAGGACAGAGTTATAAAAAAGATAAAAATGAAAGAGATGAAGAGAGAGACAGAGCAAGGGAAATGAGGAGAGTAAAAGAATGAAGGAGAGGTAAGAAGAAAGAGAGAGAGGAGAGATTGATATAAAAAGTGTATAAGTTAGAGCTGTGCACCTCTGCGTATGGCGGCGAGCAGGTCTGAACGAGCGTCGCTCATCGGGATCATGCCCAACATGGTGGACTTCCTCTGGGGGGCAGAGTCAGGCTGGGCGAGGGGCGGGGATGGGTGCACCGCGGGGCCGCCCGGTGGAGGAGGGGGCGGGGCAGCGGGGGGAGCGCCAGAGGGGGGGTGGGCGGGGGAGGGCACGTAGTTGACGGGAGGAGGGGAGGGGGAGGGGGAGTAGGGGCGGGACATGGCGGAGGAAGTGGGCGGGATAGAGGCGGCGGTGGGTGGAGCCACGGAGGAGTCGTACGGCGCCTGAGCGGAGGGCATGGAGGGGGGAGGAGGGGGAGGAGCCGGGGGGATGTAGTACTCGGGGATGGTGGACGGTTGACCACTACAGGAGAGGGAACAGAGACTGGGTTAAAAACAGATTTTTTTTAAAAAGGGCCAGATTACACTATTTTCTGATCTATGTTGTAATGTTTCCTCATCACAAACATACATGGAGTTGTGTTTTGTTTCATTCAAACATGTCACACAAATTCTGCATATTTAGGCTGTGTTTTTCTCTCAAACTGAAAGCACTCTGTTCCACCTTGTGATGTCATGTGGTAATACAGGAAGTGCTCCACTGTGTTTTACACTTCATACACCTGCCCTAGAACCATTTGGATGATTTAAGGCCTGAAATTGCCAATCTCTACTGAACAAAGGGTAAAAAGTTGTGATGGTATATAGTTCTACTTCATTCATACTTCATTTTTCAAGTTAGGCTTAACTTGAAAAATAGTACTATATAACATCACAAGGTGGAACAAGCATTTTGATCTTAGGAGATGTAGACAGACTAATAATAAAGAGTTACTCAAACGTTGAATGAAACAAAACACAAATCCAGGTATGTTTTTGATGAGGTAACAACATTATAACCAACTAAAAAACTCACAAGAGTCAATTTTGAGTAACATAGGACCTTTAAACACAATTAAATTAAACAGTCACACAAAATAACTCCTCTTGAATCCACATATACACTCACCCATGGGCCCTGTACTCTTTGACAGACTGCTGGCGAGGCCCGTTGACCATGTGATCGGGCTGCGTGCCGTGTGCAGAGGGCGTCCTCCCGAGCGATGCCGCGTGTCGCCCGGACGCCGCTGCGGACCCTGGTGTGGGCTGGGTCGGCCTCAGCACCCGGTCCAGGCTCTGGGTCTGTGGCGCCCCCAGGTGGTCACGGCTGTGGTCCTGAGGGTGAGCGGCCTGAGAGGACGAGTGACTGGGGCTGAAGAGACAAGAGGAAGGAGGAGTTATTTTATTAAAGAAGAAGTGCTTGTGTCTGCTGTATAGTTAGAATCTATGACACCCGTGGATCATTATTTTATCACTTATACATTTAAATCACGAATGTTCATCTAAAAGAAACAAGTTCTCTAAGTTCTGCGTTAGAAAATTGTGGTGCCCAATGGGAGCTGACGTCACAGCAGACGCCATCAGCAAACAAAGAGCTGTGCAGCTGTTGGCATCTCCTATGGATATCCAGCGAGCCATGGATTTTGATTCATTTATACTAAAATGATAATGTGACACTGCCGAATCCTACGCATATTACAGATTAAGAAAACAAAATTGAAGAATGAGGTAAACACAGCAATTAAATATTGCTCAAATCACTCCAAATACAACTTTGAAAGGGTAAATGATAAGGGAAACATTTTTTGCAGAACAGATTTAAAGAGGAACTAATCACAAAATCAACTATGAAACTGTGGCCATAACGGCTTGTAAAAGCCTGATCCCGTCAGATCTCAGAAGCTAAGCAGGCTGGGCCTGGGTAGTACTTGGATGGGAGACCACTCCAGGTGCCACAGTGGGGCACCAGTGGCAAGTATGAAGTGCCTAGTATGAAAGGTGTGTGTGTGAGTGATGGTGGTGGTCGGAGGGGCCGATGGCGCAGATTGGCAGCCTTGCTTCTGTCAGTCTGCCCCAGGGCAGCTGTGGCTACAGTAGTAGTTTACCACCACTGAGTGTGGAGTGACTGAATAATGAACTGTAAAGCTCTTTGGGTATCTTGAAAGGCGCTATATAAATGCTATCAATCAATAAACTGTGTACATGGTGTTTTAAAAGTCTGTAAACAGTTCCTCGTCCATTTTGTCTATTTTTGTGCAAACCTCCACTTTGGGAATCACAAATTTAAACTGCTGTGCTCCGTGGACAAACACTATGTACATGTCTTGTCTCTGTGTCGATTTTGTCAGATTCAGATTCAGAGTTTTATGTCGATTAAAGCCATATAAAAAGCTGTTAAAAAGATGTCCAGAAGAGGGCAGCATTCATCTTCTATTAACATCAAGGTCAGAATTCACATTCAGAGAATCAGGACAAACTGTCTGGACTCAGGGACCCCTCAGTGAACATGCCATGGTAGGGGAAAGGAGTGAGCTGTGGTGGGGGTGAGAAGCGGGTGAGATGGGGGTGAGTTGTACCTGTTGTCTGGACTCAGGGACCCCTCAGAGGACATCCCGTGGTAGGGGGAGGGGGTGAGGCGAGCGTCTGGTCTGAACTCTTTGTCGTAGGCCAGAACGTTCCACTCCTGGCGGCGGTTACGAGCCTTACGAACCTGAAAACATGTTTATTTATATTCTAAATAATAAGAAAAAACATACACTGAACTACAGGCAAACAGATATGTATATTAAAGAGGCACTAGGTAACTTTTCTGGAGGGGGTTCATCACTTACTCATCTCCATGCAGATGATTTGCCAATAATGTTCCACAGTTTGGCATTACTCTTGCCAAAAAAGTGTATCAAAACTGTCACGATTGTATTACAGTTAAATAGTTAAAGAGGGAGTGTTTTACTTCTGCCAACACATAACATATTCAGATCACCATGTTACCTTTTACTGTTTTCAAAAAGCTATATTCACAAAAAACAGCATATTAACATGTTTTATAAGTTTCTCCCCCTCCTTTGCCTCCTTTGTGTTGTCCTCCATCAGAGCAAATCACATCACATCAATCAGTGTGCCTCCCGCTAATAAAACTACTACACAAAACTACACATTGCATCATATTTGTCATTTCTAGTTTGTTTAAACTTATTATTTATGTTTTTAAGCCACAAACAAATATTTAAATTGAATAATTATTTGAAGTTGTATGATTGTGCGCACTGACCTTCTTGACCTCTCGTCCTGGTTCTTCAACTTGCTTCTGCTGCTCCTAAAAATAAGCAAATAAAATAAAAATAAGAACAATGAGGAGAGTTAAGTGATCTGGCCCAAATCAGATCACCTGCTCCTCACCACCACCAGAGGGCATTAGTCTACTCCACTCACTTACTACCATCATCACACAAAAGTCTAAACACACAAGAAGCAGCCTAGTCTGAAAAAAATAAAAAAAAAAATAAAAAATCACTTAATTTCAGTTTATTATTATCACACAAATTCAAAATTGGCTTCATTTATTCGTATACTCTTATAACTCCAGAAATCTGAATAATAGTTAGATTTGAGTGTGCATGGGACCACAGTCAGGGAACTTTGAATGTTCTTTGTACACAAGGGAAAAAGTAAGAAGAGTTTAGTAAGTAGTAATATAAGTTATTATAACTCCATTGCAATGTATTAAAATATGAAAAACACAACAATGATTGGGCCTATTCATTTGCTCAAAAGTCATATGAAAATCAAAAGAATAATTGCTAAATTAATCGATTATCAATCCTGATACGAAGACTTGTCATTTTCAGACTGGGCTGCACCACCACAGACAACAAGTCCAGACCCGGAGTCAGACCTGGGGTCAGACCCGGGGTCTGGACTTGTGGTCCGGACTCAGGTTTAGACCAAGACTTTAGGTGAGACAAAGACTGGGGTGAGATGCAACAAAACAAACAAACAAACATGGAGAACACAGGGCTGAGTGCAGAGCTGTGAGATCAGGGACAGGATTTAAAAGAGTTAAAAGGACTCACAATATTATTGATCTATACATTTGATTTATTTTGAGTATTTTACCGGGCCTATCCAAATGAAACAAAATCTGGCACGAAGTTCAACGTCAGTATAAATAAACAAAAGTCAAATGATTTTTTTCCACAGTAGCTTCAGAAAGCAGTGCCATTATTCACTGACTGTTGTCATTTCAAAGGACTTTAAAACAAGATTACTATGACAAGTCTGTGGAGCCAGTTCTAAACAAATATCCCATAGAATTAAACAGGGCCCTGCCCCCCATCTGAAATGATGACATTATTACTATGAGATTATAAAATAAGAATGAACATTAATACTCAATATACAATATACAACATTAATAATAATAATATACAATAAATATGAAGTCCTTTTAACTCATAAATATGGATCTGTATTCTGGAAGGAGAGTGCAGCAGACAGGACAGAGGAGAGGAGGAGGGGAAGAGGGGAGGAGAGGAGGAGGAAAGGAAGAGAAGAGGAGGGGCTAAACTACAGGGAGCGGTGCAGGCCACAGCAGAGAGGGGGCGCTCTTACGGAGAAGGGGCTCCGGGGTGGGGCCTGTCTGGACTGTGCTCTGCCGGGGTGGGCGGGGCAGCCCTGAGGAGACACAAGCTGCACAGTTAGACCAGGATCAGACCAGGGACCAGGGACCAAGGACCAGGGACCAAGATCAGGGACCAAGATCAGGGACGAGGGACTAACCAGGACCAGGAGTCAGGGAAGTGGAATCGAGGACATTTTGCCGTGTGCTTTGGAGTGGAGTTTAATCTCTGGTTTCCTCATATGAGTAACATCAGCGCACACACAGGGCGTGTATAGTAAAGTGATGTGTGTGCGCATACATGAGCAATCGTGCCGTGCTTTGGCCAACCTCCTCCTCTCAGCCAAAGTCTGAAACATGCCGTGCCTGGGCACGGTTCGACTGGGCTAGTGTGAGTGCATCCTTAGACTGGGGTTGAGGACTAGGAACCAGAATCAGGGACTAACCAGGACCAAGAACTAGGATCAGGGACTGAACCAGGACTGGACCAGGACTGGACCAGGACTGGACCAGGACTGGACCAGGACTGGACCAGGACTGGACCAGGACTGGACCAGGACTGGACCAGGACTGGACCAGGACTATAGGAACCAAGATCAGGAACTGAAGAGTGAGACCACATCCAGGACGAGGGACTATAGAAACCAGAGATCAGGGCCAAGAATTTGGTCAGTTGGACCAATGGCCAGAATCACAGACTAGAGAGTTAAACCAGGATCAGGACCGGGTGAGGATCAGGGACCGAGTACCAGAGACTGGGACCCTGGACTAAATAGCTGAACCAGGATCAGGGACCAGACAGGCGAAGCTAAAGGGGCTACGGTTCCCAGTACAAGCATTTTAAAAGTCCTAATATTACGCCAAAATGACTCTTGTGAGCTTTAAACAATGTTATAATGTTGTTACCTCATGAAAAACAGACCTGAAGTTGTGTTTAGTTTCATTCACACATGTGTTTGAGTAACTCTTCATTATTAGTCTGTCTACATCTCCAAAGCTCAAGATGCTTTGTTCCACCTTGGGATGTCATGAACTGATAGTTTTCAAGTTAACATCTCCTTTTAGGTTTAGTTCAGTAGAGATTGGCAATTTCAGGGCTGAAATCATCCAAATGATTCTAGTGAAGGTGTATGGAGATTAAAAACACAGTGGAACAGAATGTTTTCTGTTTGAGAGAAAAACTCAGCCTAAATATGCAGAGTTTGTGTGTTAAACATGTGAATGAAACAAAACACAACTCCAGGTCTGTTTGTGATGAGAAAACAACATTATAGTACAGATCAGAAAATAGCGTAATATGGGACCTTTAAGTATAGTTTTGTAACTGGATTTGACTGTAACAAGGGAGGCAACAGAAATATATGAACAATCACATTAGTTTGAAATTGGCAGATGAATTCCCAGCAGCGATTCAAATGGGTCAACAGCCGAATCTCACTACGAAATTACGTTCAGTTCGGACATTATATGGTCAATACAAGATATTAATTTACTGCATAAAAAATATAAAATTATTTCAAAGTTAAAGATTTGTGAAACTGATACTTTGCAGCTGATATCATCAAAGTTCCCAGGGGGTGTGTTGCTAACTAGAGGCACTGCTCCGTATCACTGCAAAGTATCAATAATCTAAGAGTGGCAACTGAGAACTTAAATTTAACTGGTAAAAGCCCAAATGAACTCTCCGCTGCTGTTATGGTTTAATCTTTTTCAGTGTGAACAAAATAAAAAGGCAAAAAGCAGCAAATTAAATAATGGTAAAAATGAGACAAAACTCAAACTCAAATCTGAAATATAAACTTTGAAACAAAACTGGAGATGGAAGATTAGTCTAAGCCACGTGTTTCTCAGACATTTGCAAACAATTAACATGTATATATGTATGTATATGTATAAAAAAACCAAAAGCAATCTCTCCATCTCTCCTCCCCCTGTTTTGTATCTTTTAATGTCTCTTGTTCTCTCTCCTCTCACTCTTCCTCACTATCTTCTACAATAAGTCTTCTGGTACTCCCTCACTCCTTTTCTCTCTAACCCTCTAACCCTTGATGTCTTTCTCTGCACTCCTTCCTTCTCTCTCACACGCACCCTTTCTCTCCCTCCTTTTCGTCTTTGGACAGCCTCCCTCTCTATATCCTCTTCTTTCCTGTCCTCCCCCATCCATATAAACTCTGACGTCTCTTCTTTCTTACCACTCTCACACTCTTCCCTCCTCTTTTTTGTCTTTTGTCCTTTCTCCCCCTCTTTCTCACCCCCTCAATCTCTCTCTCTCTCCCTCTCCTCTCCCCCCTCTCTCGCTCCCTTTTTACCTTCTGTCGTCTCTTCTCTTTGCGTTTGTCCTCTGTTGCCTGGAGCATCTTTTCTTTCCACAGGTTAAAGAAATATGAAGGATCGGTGTAGAACTTCAGAGCGTCCTTCTTATCGTCCCTGTGGAAAAACAAAAATATTAAAGAGGAACTAAATCTACCTTTTCTGTTACTAAACGCTGTACATGTCCTTGTAACAGCACTGTCTACTGTTCTTAGTCACTTCCAGCTCCAGTGCAGATGTTGATGCTCTGTTTCTAAGTAGCTGCCGATACCCGATATCAACTGATACCAGTGCAGAGAAAATATATTTTATTTCCTTTAAACACAAACAACATAAGGTAGAAAATGATCCAAATATGTTTTGTAACTACAGAACAGTTTTGTAAAAATACAAGCCAAATATTATGCGGCATCTTGGGCCAACATTGGCTAGTAAATCATGTTATTACTTGCCTGACCAGCCTTCTACATTCTGTTCAAATCCACAAGGGACTGGACCTGGACAATAGAACATGAAAAACCTCCTTCCAAACTCGAGACGGTCCAGCCAGCCGCTAATATGTGTCTCAAATGTGGAAGACAATTCTCATTCAGAACAAAATATGTAACTTCTTTTATCTGAGATAAATCATAGCTTGGTGCTTTGATTGTTAATTCTGTAAAAACCTGTGCTATTTCTCAGTCCTTTATAATGTTTTTTCCCCATTTTTATGTGTAAACCACCGTGTTTGTTTGTAATCCACCTGTCAATCACTCCCGCTGGAATCAGGAATACATAATACCCCTCCACATCCACTCATCTTTTGTCAAAGCATGTGGTTCTGACTGAACAGGTAATCTTATTATACAAATGTACAGACTAAAATGGGATATCAACCAAACTGAAATCTTGGAAGCCATTTAGGTCCGATTTGAGTCAGATGTGGGTGGTGGCAGAATAAAGAGATACGGGCATGAAGCTGTGTCGCACCTGGACGCTCTGAGTATATTTAGCGGAGTGAGAGTTTTGGTTAGATTTAGTGCTCACTGGTGAGGACGGGTGAAGATGGGTGAGGCTGCCTTACCTGTACGGGGTGAGTATATTTAGAGGAGGAGGTTTGTCACAGCGGTGGTACATCTCCACCACAGGGTTGGGCACAGAGGTACGTGACACCACCTGCTGGTCCTGGATGGTACTGCTCTTGAAGGCCTTCCTCATGTTGATGTCCTGTAAAGACACTGCAGAGAGAGAGAGACATGTCACTTTTGGAAATTAGGGTGCACTGTGTCATTGCTCTGCCTGGAATGTTCCACAGTATGACATTATAACAGCTCTACCTTATATTTATTCAAATTACAGATGGTTTTATAGCTCAAAAATACCTAGGAAAACATCTCCAAGGAGACAAACAGGTGGCAGACCCTACACCAGAAAAGCTACACAGTGCAGCTTTAAAGATGAACCTCTGAGCTCCGCACAGCTGTCTGATTTCTAACCTGTCAAATATTAATCTTTGCTCTGAGCGATTTTCCGTTTGATTTATGAAATATGCAGCCGCCATTTTGTGATTCAAGGTTTTCTCTCCCTAAAGACAGATCATAAACTCCAGCGTGACACATACAGAGGGTATGTGTTATACTGATAGGCTCCTATGCTCCTTCTGTGTCTCCTGTGTCCTCTGCACCAGATTTATAGATTTACGCAGTGAAGAAAAAAGGAGAAAACAGTATTCGCTCGCTTATAGATCATATCCACTTAGCATTATTTGCAGAGGTTTTAAAATTTTAAAGGGCTCATATTACACACTTTTCTGATCTACAGTGTGGTATAATGGAGACCTGGAGTTGTGTTTTGTTTCATTCACACGTTTAACACACTAATTCGGCTGAAATACTGTTCCACCTTATGATGTCATGTGGTAATATATGGAGGGCTCCACTGTGTTTTTAAACTCCATACAGTTTCTCTCTAAAATCATATGGATGATTTCAGCCCTGGAATTGCAAATCTAAGGTCAAAGGTAAAAGGAAGGTATAGCTTGAAAACAACTGTACTGCTTCATGACATCACAAGGTGGAACAGAGCATTTTGAGCTTTGGAGGTGTAGACAGACTAATAATAAAGGATTACACAACTGCAGGTATGTGTTTGGTGAGGAAACAACATTATTACATGACTTAAAGGGACAGTCTGGAATTTTGGACGTAGGGCCTCATTTCCTAGTGAACCAGAGTGTTGGAGACGTGTGGAGACACTTTTAAAAAATATTCCATCCAGTCCTTGTATTTGCAGAGGTCGCTGGTGCTAGGCTAGTGCATGTCAATGGCCATAGTTAGCCTGCCACTAAAAACAGTGTTGCCCACTCCACAAAACACCAGAAACAAATCTATTATCACACCAGACTGTCTCTGTCAATAGAATAATTTTAGAAGTAAACCCAACCTTGCATTTGAAGGATTTGTGTCTGAGCAGCAGTGCGTTGTACTTCCTGATAGAAATCTTGGCAGCGGCGGACTGATATCACCTAGCGTCTATCTTACCTGCTGCTTCTGAGAAAATAGTCCCTCAACATATGACAATTCATGTGATACAAAGTTAGTTTTATTTCAAACATTATTCTATCAACACAGACATTTACATCGACAGTCTGGTGTTATAATTGTTTTGTTTCAGGTGTTTTGTCGAGTGGGTAAGACTGTTTTTAGTGACAGGCTAACTATGGCCATTGACATGCACTAGCCTAGCACCAGCGACCTCTGCAAATACAAGGACTGGATGGAATATTTAAAAAAAGTGTCCCAACACGTCTCCAACACTCAGGGCCTCATTTCCTAGTGAGCCAATGTCCAAAATTCTGGACTATCCCTTTAAATCTCACAAGAGTCCATTTTTCAGACCTATAAAAATGACAAATTCTCAAAATGATAGATAGAATGTGTTTGGAATTGAAGATTTCATTGGGTTTCAATTGGCATCACAACACTGTACTGGCCAACTGATACTTTGCAGCTGATCATCAACATTCCGTAGGGGTGTGATGTTAACTGTAGGCTCTGTCTGAGGATTTTATTTTAACACTATCTGACGAGAAAGAGCTGACTTAGTTGGAACTACAACATGTGAGCTGATTTGTGCCTTTAAACAAGTCTCTCACACATAAAATTAGTCACAAGCTATCTAGCATCAGCCAACAGTTTTTCAGTTAGTCACTTTCACATTTTTGTTGAAAATCAAACACCTAAACAGGAACACGAACCCTCGTATTGATCACAGGCTCCTGAAAATGTGCTGTTTAAATCCATTTTGTATTTTTTTCAGACAATCTTAAATGTCTGACAGTGTTTATGAATGTCTGCATTGTGTCTCCATGGTAACTACTGAACGTTCCACCACAGAGATACATGTAGAACACCCCCAGCGTAATGGCACTGTAAAGTAATTGTAGTTTAGTTGGTCTCATTACGTAAACAGATTTGATAATGAGACCAGAGCAGCTAAACTCATAATCAGATAACTGGAGTAATCAGATAACCCATGATGAAATCTGATTATCAGTGGGAAGTCAAAGTGAAACATCTGTGTTTTGACTGAGTTTATCTCCAGAAATTAGACAACGGTCATTTTTTTTGTGTGTGAAATTATATACTGTCAAATCTCTACACCCCCTTCTGCCCTTCCTCTCCCTTCTCTCTCTTTCTCTCTCTTTCTCCTACTCCTCCTCCTCACCCTTTCCTCTCTCCTCCCTGTGCATCTCTCTCTTCCCTCTTTCTCTCCTCCTACTCACCCTTTCCTCTCTCCTCTTTCTGTCTCTTTCCTCTTCCCTCTTTCTCTCTCTTTCTCTCCTCCTCCTACTCACTCTTTCCTCTCCCTCTCCTCTTCCCTCTTTCTCTCCTCCTCCTCACCCTTTCCTCTCTTCTCCCTCTCCTCGCCCCTCTCTCTCCTCTTCCCTCTTTTTCTCTCCTACTCACTCTTTCCTCTCTCCTCCTCTATCTCTCTCTCGTCTTCCTTCTTTCTCTCCTCCCCATTCACTCTTTCCTCTCTACTCCATCTCTCTATCCTCCTCTGTCTCTCTCCTCCTACTACTCACTCTTTCCTCTCTCCCCCCTCCTCTTCCCTCTTTCTCTCTCCTCCCTCTCTTTCTCTCCTCCTCTTCCTACTCACCCTTTCTTTCTCCTCCCTGTGTCTCTCTCCTCTTCCCTCTTTCTTTCTCCCTCCTCCCTCTCTTTCTCTCCTCCTCCTGCTCAGTCTTTCCTCTCTCCTCCTCTCTCCTCCTCCTACTTACTCTTTGCTCTCTCTCCCCCCTCTCCTCTTCCCTCTTTCTCTCTCCTTCCTCTCTTTCTCTGCTCCTACTTATCCTTTCCTTTCTCCTCCCTGTGTCTCTCTCCTCCTCTGTCTCTCTCCTTCTCTTCCCTCTTTCCCTCTCCTCATCCTCCTACTCACCCTTTCCTCTCTCCTAATCTGTCTCCCTCTCCTCTTCTTTCTCTCTCTTTCTCTCCTACTCCTACTCACTCTTTCCTCTCTCCTCCCTCTTTGTCTCCCCTCCTCCTGCTCACTTTTTCCTCTCTCCTCCTCTGTCGCTCTCTCTCCTTCTCTTCCCTCTCTTTCCTCTCTCCTCCTCTTTCTCCCTCTCCTCGTCCCTCTTTCTCTCCTCCTCCTATCCACTCTTTCCTCTCTACTCCATCTCTCTGTCCTCCTCTTACTCTCTCTTCTCCCTCTTTCTCTCTCCTCCTCCCTCTCTTTCTCTCTCCTCCTCAGTCTTTCCTTTTTCTTCCCTTTGTCTTTCTCTCCTCCCCCTCCCTCTCCGTCTCCTCCTCCTACTACTACCCTCTCTCCTCTCCCTCTGCTCCTCCCTCTCTCTTTCTCTCTCTCCTCAGTCCCTCTCCTTCTCAGCCCCTTTCTCCACTCTCTCTCTCTCCCCTCCCTCCCTCTTTCCTCCATCCTCTGTCCCTCCTTCTTCAGTATTTGTCATTCAGTTCACACACTCTTTCACATCTCTGCTCTCTGTCCTTTCTCTTTCTCTCCTGATTCTCTCTCCCTCCATCTCTCCCTCCCTCCCTTTCTCTCTCTCTCTTCAGTATTTGTCAGTCCGTTCACACACTCTTTCACATCTCTTCTCCCCGAGGCCAGGGTCTAATCCTCGAACCAGCGTCTAATGCGTCTTTCATTCACCCCTCTCTCTCTCCTCGTCTCTCTCCCTTCACGCCTCCTCCCTTTCTTTCTGTGTCTCTCCCTTTGTCGCTCTCCTCTCTCCATTCCACCTCCTTCTGTCTATTTTCTCATCTCCTCTCTCCGTCTCTCACTGTCTCTCCCACTTTGACTCTTCCATGCCCCATTTTTTTTCCCTCTGGTCTCTTCCTCTCCAATGAGATTTTCATTCATTCCCTCCTCCTTCCCTCTCTCTCTCTCTATCTGTCTCTTTCTCTCACGGCTTCATTCATTCAATCCCCACCCCCCTCTGTCTCTTTCTCATCTTCTCCTATAAAGCAACATTCATTCACTCCTCTCCCCCCCTCTCTCTCCTCCTTTTGTTCTCCTCCTCCCTCTCTCCTCTCTCTCCTCCCTTCTACCCCCCTCTCCTCAGTCTCTCGCTCCCCTTTCTCTCTCCTCTCTCATTCCTTAGTCTATCTTTCTCTCTTTTTCTCTCTTTCTTTCTCCTCCTCTCTCATTCCTCAGTCTCTCTGCACCTCTCTTTCTATCTTTCCTTCTGTCTCTCCTTCTCTTTCTCTCTCTCCTCCCCTCTCATTCCTCTTTTCTCTCTCTATTCTCTCGCTCCTCCTCTCATTCCTCAGTCTTTTTTCTCACCACCCTCTCTCTCTCTCTCTCTCTCTCTCTCTCTCCTTTCTTTCCTCTTCTCTCCCCCTCTGTATTCTCCCTCCCTCTTCTCTCTCTTTCTCTCTCTCTCTCTCTCTGTCTCTCTCTCTTCATCTCCTAATGCGTTTCATTCACTCGATCGCCCTCTGATGAGCGACTCCCTGTTCCACATGTAGGTCATGTGGTTTTGCCCAAAGGCACAAATGACACTTTTAATTGTCTAACAGAGTTTGAACCACAAACCACCAGGTCAGAGGCTGAAATAAACTTCTTTAAGTATTGGAGAACTTCACATGTCTTAGTGTCATGCAGTTTTAATAACACTTGTACCTGTAGCTTAGACAGTTATTACATGTCTTGTTAGTGTGTTATAAGAACTGTTGGGCAAGTGACTTTAAAACTGTAATGAGTTATTTATTTATGACTT